GAAGGTGACGCATCGCCCTGGGGCCAGAGGCTGCTTATTTCTGAAAAACGCTGCAGGACATTACTGTCCAGGTGACCTGGGGAGCTGAATGATCAAATGAGTTTTTGTCTGAACAGCAAGTCTCCTCTAAATGGTGGTGGGGGGGGCAGTCAATCATGGCCCTAAAACTTGCGTTTCCAGGGATTAAAACAATCTCGGTATCAGACTGGATCGCTAGCGTGGCCCTCGGGGGACTTTCTCCTGTGTGGCAGCTTAGGTTTCTGGTTTCTCCTTGGCTCGGGGTGCCGAGTGGCTGGCTTCTGCGAGAACAAACCCCACTCACAGAGGTGATTCTCATGATAGCGGTGGCGTCCCCCAGCTCTGCTTTTAACTGCTCATATGATTTTCCTCCCTACAAGAAGAGAGAAAACAGAAAGGGGCCTCTGTGGTGGCGCAGCACCGCGAAGCTGTCAGCAGCCTCCTTGGCCCAAGTTCACCCCCAGCCAGGGAGGGGCCCCAGGGCGCAGCAGCCCCCTCCTGGCTCCCCGCTGCTCCCCTCTGCAGTGTGTTTCAGTGAGTCTGCCTGTTGTGTTCCCCACTCTGTCGCTGGGGAAGCCTCTCACCTGCACCCCTGCACCTCTGGCCTGTACCCCAGCTCTGTTTACATAAGTAGTAAGTCTTTAAAACGAAACCAGAGCGAGCTGTTGCTTGTCAGCGAGGAGCAGCTCAGACATACTTTCCACTCTGGTGGCGAAAGAGCGGGTCAGAGACACTCAGGGATGAGCAGAAGTGAAAGCCCGCCTCTGGGCCAGGCAGGCCGGCAGGCACTGAGCTTGACCTGCGCCCCGAGCAGCCGTGCACCTCCAGACCAGACAACGCAGGCACGGGAGGGCCAGGAGAGCCCCCGCCCCGCCCCGCCCCCATCGGTGGCCGCCTCCAGCCTCTCGCTGCGCCCAGGGCCTGCCCTGCCCCGAGCTCAGCAAGCCGGTGTACCGGCCGCACTTTCTGCACACTGCTCACGCCGGGGACCTAGCTGCTCAGATTTGGGGCCCCTCTCGGGGAGGCTGACTCAGCCAGGCGGGGCACCCGGGGGAGCCAGTCTGGCAGATGCTGAGCTGCAGTCGCAGTTGAA